GTTTCCTATTGGATTCATATCTGGTGAGCAAGAGGGCTACTCCAAGACTTGAATATTTCTTTGCGCAAACCAAGCCATTGACTGTCTACTGACATGTATTTGTGCATTATCTTGTTGGAATATCAAATGTCTGTCTTTATTGTCATTTAAAAATGGCAGCAAATTTGTTTCAAGCACCTCAAGATATTCTGCGTTGTTCATTCGGGTTGAGGGGTAAGATCATCTTAAAATCTCTTCCTTGTTGAAGGCACTTCAAAAAAAAGTCACCCCTTCAAAATTACGTTTTGAAAAATATTGCGGTTCTTTCCTTAAATCCCTCCAGTAACAATCAAATTCATCCGGACCATCTAACTTGAATTTTTTTTTATCAGAAAAAATAATCTGAAAAAGATTGACGATAAAAACGAACCTAAATGACAAATTTTGAGTTACATTGTTGCAATTGCGATTCAAATTAACACAAGCAAATTCCACTCATGCTGTTTTATGGTGGGGATGAAGACGCGGTGCTTTTTTTAACTTTTGGGGTTTAATGTTTCCACTTCTTCTCAAAATTCTTCCAATTGTTCATCTTGACACATTGGCTTGGCACTCTTGTCCTATTCTTCTGCAACTTTTGAAAATATTGCTTGCAATAGTAATGAGTCTTCTTTCTGTTCTTGGAGAAATTTTCTTTTTGGGAGCGCTTTTTTTGTTAGCTGGATTATTCAGATAATTTACAACGACTTTATGCGACCGATTAAGTCTCAGATCAATTTCTTGGCGACTTAAGTCTTCGTCAGAAAAAGCCAAAATTGTACCTTTTTCTAAATCACTTAAGTAACTTCCACGATTCGTGTCACAAAGGAATAACATTTAATGAAAATGAAATCATAGTCTTTGCCATTTCTATTGAAACACCAGTTGTTAATCGTAAATTTGGCAACGTTCATATTCAGACAATTTTCTAACTAAAAGCCGTTGTCAATCAATCGAAAGCTGTTACCAATTGCGGAATTTTAAGCAAAATCAACAGGTGGTGTTTCAATAAAAATGGCAAAGACAATATGTTTTGAAAGTACGGCCATGGCTAACTTTTGTTAATTATTTTTATTTCAACTGGGGCTATAGTTATACACCATTTATTTTTACATTTTTTTCAATGAGTTATAATTTGTTTAAAAATAAATTCAAATGTCTTTTTTATCACCCCTGTAAGTTACATTAAGTTACAATTACAGTGAGCGACATAAAAAATTGAAAATTGAAGGTGGGGCTATAGTTATGCTCTCCACTTTATACTCTTTCCTCCATGGTTGCAATGCCATCATTATTTTCAAAATGAATTTCATGGCTTACTAGAGGACTTTTTTCGATCATATGGTACAGTGGCGGCCGTTGAAAAGTACTACACTGTGACATGTCTTTGTGAACTGCTCTGAAAATTAAGTTTCTAAAATGTCACTTCCAATGTCACTGAAAACAGTTGTTCGGTCCAGTCAGGTAGACCGAAGGAGAAGGGGTGCAGCAGACTCCACCGTCTCACCCACCACCTCCACTTGTAAATAAATGTACATAGTTGTTAGCAGATTCGAATAAACCGTCAAGCAGAAAGGTTCGTGTCTCACTGAAACTATATTTATAGTTTCAACAACATCATTTGGTCATCCATTGTGACCCCTTCATTTTTTGGTCATCCATTGTGACCAACATTTGTGGTCACCCATTTGTGACCGCTGGTCCTTCGAGCAAACACAAAAACTTGCGTCAGGTCACCCACTTATGACCTAACAACAGTGTTAGTGAAGCCAAAATTTTTACTTCAACAAAAGTTAATTCTTTACCTAGCATCAGCTGAACTGATTATGCCTAGGAGACGTCTTGGTATTGATAAGACGACATTCTGCACATATTTGGGCTGTATGCCGCGATTGCCAGGTATATGAAACGCTTTGCATCAGTTCTTCCCAGTAGTTTGGCAAAACATAAATTGTTAAAACTGTGGCATTCTCTAAAATAGCGTTCGACACTGTTTTGTTAAAAGTTGGCAGTGGCATTGTCATATTTGATAGAAAACCCAATTTTGGCTGTCCAATTTTTTAAAGTTTCAAATAGTGCGTCAAAATGCAGTGTGGTACTTTTCAACGTTCGTGACTCTACAATATAATTATAATCCTTCCACGATTGATAGCGTTGGGAGTTTCTAATAAATGTGTTAAAGACTTTATTTGCTTGTCAGTCGAGTGCGATATTTTAGAATATTTACAAAGTGTGCTCTTCATACGTTTGTCAAAAACGTGCATGTCAAAGCTTTCATTCATTAATATGCATAGTGTTCCCACCTTCCTTCTAACCATCTTCGAGTTTCTTTTATTTTGTTAAGCAAATCTGCTTGCAGCCACTATAGGATATATTTGGTAAATATTTTATAATACAGGATATGTATACTCATATGTTGAATAATTATTATTAATATTTTTTGTATGATTTTTGCTCCGCGGTTATAATGGTAAAATTTCGGTAATAAATTACTACGCGTTATACTTTTCCGAAAGTTATAACAAAAAATAATAGCAAAATAAGAGTCGCTAGAATGTATGGAAATGGTTAAATATCTTGGGAACCAATTGTACAAATCCACTGGAATTAGGTATAGAGGTCTAAGAAGTTGTGCTGTAATTATTATTCGTCAAAAAAATTTTCTTCTGCTTCATAATTAACGCATTTTTAATAGAGCTTTTTTTGCACTCATTGATAGAGCACAATCATACTTTCTTTCTGATTGAAATGGCAATAGTAATTTACGCAACTAGTTCGGGATAGCCTGCTTCCCGCATGAACGCTTGTTTGAGGCACGACCGAAGGGAGTGCCGCATTTGCGTGAATGCGGGAAGCAGGCTCACGAACGTGTTGTGTACAATATTTTTTGCGACGAATAAACCTTTAAACTGAAGAGATTAACTGTGAGTTATTTATAAACAACGCCATTGACAGCGCCGTCAACACGTCACAATGTTGACACTACCCGAGTATTTTAAGGTTACCATGGCAACGGGAAGTTAAATGCACGTGTGCGGGAAGTTCGACCTCCCGCACTCTGGTGAATGCGCGAAAGCTATCAAAAAAGGTCATGAGTGCAAAAAATATATTACCTATTAAATAATGATTAAATAAATTTATGATTATTAATTTTAATTAATTTTAAACAATAAATAAATTTACCAATAACAACCGAAAGCAAAATTAAATTTCTGTTTTCTACAAAAGATGCTCAAAATGCTTTCCATTTACTTCCTGGCAGTAAAAAAGACGCTTAATACAATTTTGTAGGGAGTTAATGAAAATTTCTGGACGAATGCTAGCAATTTCGTTACGTACTTATGCGGTCCTGTAAATCTTCAATGTGAATCGGTCTATTGATATAAACGTGATTCTTCAAATAGTCCCACAAAAAAAAGTCAAGCGGTGTCAAATTTGGTGACCTGGCAGGCCATTCAATAGTACCCCTTCGGCCTATCCATCTGCCAGGAAAAGTTTCGCGCGAGGTCTAGAAGTGGCTTTGCAACCGTGGTTAATATACTATTTTTTTCACTAGCAGAAACCATAAGACAATAAACTGAAAAAATAAACGTTCAATTTTTTGACGCAACATGATTTTGTTTTGATTTCTAATCAAACTTAATCTAAATCTTCAACACAAAGAAAACCGTTTATACTTGTCGCTGAGTTAATCATTTTATCTTCTACCGTCTACCAACTACCATGCGTATACTCAAGTAATGTTTGTAGCACACATTTGTTCATTTTTTAAGAAATAATCACATCAAACATTGCGTACATAACCTCAATTTTTCTTTTTGAACCGATGGTCGCAAAAGTTGAATTTGCTCCCTCTAAATGAGTCGACATTTGCATGCGTCATGGCTGCTAGTGAAAAAAATTATTTTTAATGGTAATTATGTCATATTTCTTTTTTTATTTATTGTTATTTAAAATAATTTGTTTTGCCATTTCAATCAGAAGGAAAGTATGATTGTGCTATGTAATGAATTCAGAAAAAAAGCTCTATTAAAAATGCATTAATTATGTGGTAGTGCCATTTAAAAAAAATCAAGTTGGCCTTGCATCTTGAAAACAAATGAAGCAAAAAAAATTTTTTTTTGACGAATAATTAGAGCACAACTTCTTATAACCTAATTTCAGGTGATTTGTACAATTAGTTCTCAAAATATTTAACCGTTCTGGCGACCCTGTATTAAAATAATACTCCTACTAATAAGTTTAGGTCATTTATTAGAACAAAATTTGGGATGTTACTGTTGTGACATGAAATCTTGTTGAGAGTGAGTGATATAAGCTTAATTAATGAATTAAACATTCTGATAAACTATATAAAATAACATATTTTCTTAAAGTTTCTATTAACACAGATTGTTGCTGTCATGTTATTATTAATATTAATATAGTCTAAATACAAATGTTGTATTAAATGTTAATATTAAAAAATATTACTTTTACTATAACACAATGAAATCTTACTTACTTGACGTCTGAATGAAAAGAAAAATTTGTAATAACTTTCAAAGTTAAAAAAATAAACGCAGTACTGCTTAATTTATATTCCGTTGTTTCTTTCGAATATCTAATCTATTTAGAAATCTTAAATGAGAAAAAAATCAGAAGATATTGTTACGTTTTGTTTAAGGCTTTGTAGATGTTATCGTAACTATAGCCAGTTTTAAGAGTTCCAATATATCACAAATTTGATAAGTATTTTATAATAATTGCACTACAACTGGGCTAACATAAATTGCTTAAAAGTTTTAGCCTCACAAACAACAGCAGCGACGATAGTCATCAATGCACTGATACAACAAAGAAAAAATTTCAAAAATTCTTCAGTTCGTGCTGTAAATACATGCGAAACACTCGCTCACTTTCTTTGTAGCAGTAAATTCGCGTCATTACCGTAATAGTAACACTTTCTACTCACATGGCCGATTGTAAAGTGAAGGGAAAACACAACACAGAATTTATAAATATAGGTTTAGTGGGATTGCTGATTCTAGTGAATTGAAACTCTTCAGTGTAAGCGGATCATCCCTCAAACAAAAATGAAATTAAACATTGTGTAAGTGACTTATTTACTTATATTTTTTAACCTGCAATTAACAAATGTGGGACTCTTAAGACATTTTATAAAACAGCAGTGGGTTTTAACTGACCAGTTTTACTTTCATATTTTATCTCAGCGTTGTTGCTATAATATATGCGTATTATATTTTTACCACTTATTATCATCATTATCTGTGATGTAGCCAGCTAATCGTCTACTAAGCATTTTTCATTTATTGGCGCCTCCAGGTGAATAACTATATACTTACGTAACAATGTGAAATCGATTTTTTTTCTACGACGATAAAACTATAAATGTTAAAACTACGAGACTTTATTATTACGGTATCACTTTTTATTTAAAACCACATTCTCGGGTATTATTGACATTGAAATTATCTTACCGCTGGGGAAAACTGTTAAAACTGGTGACTTTTTTAAAATTTATTATTACTTGCTACTTGCTTAAATGTTAACGCTTAACACACCAATACCATTTTTAGAGTGATCAAATTTTGATTTTTTTTTTGTTAATGTTATGTAGATGTAACACAAAACCCTGTTTTAAATAATGCTACGCGATTGTTCGTTTCATAAAATCCTCACGTAACTATTTGAAACATAGGGAAGGTCTTGCTTGAAATAATTTGACAGTAAATGCCTTGAAAATAGAGGTCATCAACAATAGCGCAGCAAATGCAGACTTCCTTCTTCTGGTAGTAGGAAATGAGAAAATGCATTCAATTCTTCATGGAGGTGCGCATCAGAACGCAAATAAAATTAACCTTTTTAGCGCAGTGTATTTCGTTGAGAAGTGAATTATGAAACCTGTGAATTTTGCGCAACACGTCTGTCAATAATTAAAACCGATTTATTATTAAAAACTTGGGCAATCCTGTTTCCATTTGACATAACAATTTCAAAATGGCAGCGTCTCGTGTAACAGTACAAACGTTCATACCAGAAATTAAGTATTAATGTTGAAGTCACTATTATGGGGTTTGAAACTCGGTAGTTTTTTATTGTGGTGAATGTCACAAAAAAAAAAAATAAACGTATGTCGGGTGTCCTAGTGGGTTGAGAGAGTTTGTGAAGTTAATGCATAGCTTATCTCCAAATTCGGTGAACCAGATACATCTATTTTTGTCTTTCGTAACCTTGTTGACAAAAATTTTAATCCTTGAATATCACGTTAAGTTAATTCTTGCAGGAATTGCAGGAAAATGACGGAGACAACTAATTTGACCTCTTCGTGAGGGTACATATTTGTGTAATCAAGTGAGCGCCCTTGTATTGAAGTAGGACTACTTTCTTTTTAAAAAAATTTTAATTTACTAAAAATATGTTAATTGCAAATTATTGCGTGAAAATAGTAAAACTGGAATAAAAGATGTAACATATAGGATTTGACTTTCTTCTCAAATACTTTACCTCTTTGGAGATTAAACTACACTCTTGATTAGTGTCGTTTTTTGTAAATAATAAATAAAATAGACAATAATAATGATACTTCATATAGTATTATTAAAAAAAATATCTTAAGTGATTTAGACAGATCTTTCCTAGCATCTGAAACTATAGCATATTTTTAAGTAAATATTTCTTTACTACTACCAACGTTATTCTTTCTTAAGAATTTCGGACAAATTAAATGAACCTTTCTGGAGATATTTAATACGGTTCTTCAGTTGCTTACGCTCGTAACACCATAGAGTAACAAAACTGTAATGAAAAATACTTTATTAGACAAATGTTCCCACATTTCTGAAGTACAATCCATTGAACACGTGCAGTTTATTAGTCAAATTACAAAATTTGGTATTATATACATGTTTTTAAGATAATCTGCATGCGGTAAAATAAAAATAGGAATGGATTATTAAAGTACCATATGTATATTTCAAGTCAGATTGTTCAAAGAAATTTTGTAGTGGACGAATGTAGCAGTTTTTGATTAATATAAGACAACATTAATGAACTGTGTGTCTATAATTTTGGCAAACTTAGGTAAACCATTCTTGATTTTGTAAATAAAATAAACTGCTTCATTTACTATTTTTTAAAATCCTGTATAAAAAAATTGGCCATTCGTTTGATGAAACCTATTACAATACGTCTTAGTTTACGGTCGGGAAGTAATAATTCTAAAAAATATTGATTATGATATAATATTAAACCACAAATAAAGTAGTATGTCAATATCGCACTATAAATTTCAACCGAGATTTATTTATTTTTGCTGAAAATGAGCAGATAAATTTTCGATGGCGTTTTACCATCGAAAGACGATCGAAATCTTAAAATATGTTTAAAAATTTTTAACAAAATTAGTTGATTAATTTCGGAGAATATTTGCTTAATAAAATTGTCAACAAACAAGAAACAACATTTAAAAACCGACACGTGTTTCCGTATTCTGGGAACTATAAAACGTTGAAAAAGTATAAAATTGGCCATACCTTATTAGCTTGTTACTATAATTCCCTAGATTAATGTCGAGAAGTAAACACATTTTAATCAATATTTGGTAATGTTGGTGTATTATGAACATTTCAAGAATGTGGTGTTTCTAAGGAAATTTATAAAAAATCGACATCATCAAATGGTTGGTGGCAATGAATAAATAAATTTGAATTAGCGTGTTACCATTTACAATTTACAATCGATTCAGTTATTTCGGAGGTTATATGTTTAATCAAATTGGCAACAAGTTGTAAAACGTCTCAAAAACAAGAAATGAGACATTCGTCAAAATGACCCTGATTCCATCATAATACCCATTTTCCTAACTACTTCTCTGTCTGATAAAACGTTTTTTTTTTGTTGTTTTTTATTCTGCAATAAATAATTTGTTAAATGTTAAATTTTGCTCTGGTGCCATTTGATTAAAATTTTTGTTTTTACGATGTTGCTGGATGAAAAAGATCAATGGAGATTTACGTATTAAAAAGAGCAAGTGAAAAAAGCAGTACATATTATTTTTTCTAAATTGTTTTAAAATTTATTAAATTGGTTCAAACCATTTTAACTTCACAATTGTCAACTTGTAGTATCTCTATAAAGTATACAAATGGTTGTAGGTGTCCTGTTTACTTACCGTTCCTGAGTGTATGAATACTTTTTACTTCTCAGGACATAGCCAAAGAAGTGCTGCAGCGTGGTTACTTTGATGTTTGATTTCACATCTTACATTTTGTAGAATACGAAAATGTCTTTTTTTTATTCTGCCAGTCTGTTGTTTGTTGGCGATTTTAGTATGAATTACCGGACCGATTATTTTGAAGTTCAAAGTGTACTACCTACTAGTATTTTATGAAACGAAAGCAATAAAATATCATATAAAAGATTCTTAAGTAAATCTTGTTTTAAATGTTCAGTATAACAGGCTTAGATGTGCCTTATTTACTTACTCTAGGCCTTATTTTTACTTTACATATGCTATTAAGAAGTAATTTCGCTCTTCAATTCGTTATATTTTGTAAAATCTCGTTAAGATTGCATAACATACTTCGGCGAAATTTTTATAAAATACCAATAGTTAGGAATTATAAAACACAACTAAAATGTGTTTTTATCTCTTCCAAAAAGTGGATGACGTCATCGAAAAGTATTATCAATATATCTCTTTTGAAAAATAAGCTGTAAGACATTGTAGATAGGGGTGTGCTTCTGCATTTTAGAGTTGATTACACAAGTTACCTCCAAAAATTATTATATAAACAGATGTGTTGTACCAATTATCTCATAAATTACTTTTTTTTAACTTCTAGCAACAGAATAACATTATGATCAATATTGCACACCTTAGAAAGTTAATGTTAATAAAATGACTCCACTAATATTCCAGCCTCTGTGAAAAAGATAATCACATCATCTCGAAAAATTATTATTAAACAAATCATTTGAAAATTATATAATTTTTTAAACTGTATTTTATAATTCATTCATTTATTTACAAGTTTTTATAAATGCATTAAAGTAACCCCAGCCCATATGACTTCAGTTGACACCGGGCAAATTTGATAATTGGATCTTGTAAATATACATATAGAATAATATGGTTATAATTTTTTGTCTAAATTTAGAATTATTAAAAAATCATAGTAGTTTCTTTTTAAGATATTTTTGAAAGTTTACGAATGTTAAAGACTGTACAATGTTAAGTTAATTTCAACAAATATATCTAAATGTAATTAAGTACAGTTTTATAAAACAACACAGCATTGTTTTGAAAAAATATATTTACTATAGAAAATTTGAATCTACCTTGTGTTAAACTATATGTTTATGAGCTTATAATATTAATCACGAAAATTTCAAAAACATAAAAAATGCCAATTTACTCGTATATCTACCATACCCATATTTGAAAAATACATTTTATAGTTTATACATATCTGTAATTGTATCGGTTCTGAATGTTGTTCGGTGTGAAATATCTTCTAATTTCAGTTTTTGTAACTGCACGTGTAAATATCGTTCCAAATCAGTATAACTAGATGGAAAACTTTCGTAGAGAATAATGTTACTCAGAGAATTTTCATTCCCTATTTTACATACATACAAATCATTTTTATCATTAATAGGATATACTATAAAGAACCAAGTCATCACGATCCTAATGTTGATACTATTATCCAATGACGTAACTATTCTTTGTTGTTTATACGTTATTAATTTAATAATTTTATTATTATCTTATTACTTTATCAGCTCAAATCTAATAAGTTATTTGTCAGAATTATGTAAAATTGTAGTGACACAGAACTATATATTTCGTTTAGGAAAAGCAAAGGAAAATTCAGTTCACATTTAAACTTTTTTTGCAGAAATTTTAACCATACTGACATGCTCCGATTGCTTTTGAAAAATCACACTAGACAAGCCCTGATAACTGCCATAGTTACTCTTTAAATTCAATGACAAATGTGGTTGGTAAAAATCATTTCTCTTGGTATTATACATAACAAAGATGCCATTTACATTGTCTTTCACATGGCCGACTACTTACAATGG